ATTTTAAGACAAGGGTCAGTGACAATGCAGAAATTGCTCAATGATGCACATTTTTTTATTACTGCATTAAGGTTTTGACATATTAGTAATGAATAAATGTTTCCATAAAATTAGATTTTTTTATAACTTTAAAATTGAAATATGACAGAACACTGTGACTTCCTCTTCAAAGGTAATGTTCTAGTTTCATGAAACAAAGCACAGCTTTCTACAAGTCTTTAACTCATACTTCACTGGCTTAATAGTTTTGATTTTGAGAACAAGAGTTCTAATGGCTTTAAGTTTGGGTCTTGTTTTAAAGTATCATCAATTTGATATGTTTTTAAATGCCAGTTTCCACGTGTAAGACAGATCAGGTTTTACATAATTCACTCTAGAAATAATCTTCATTTATCTGATAAATTTTTAAATATATGGCAAGCTTGTAACTACACAGAGGGTAGTAGAAAAGAGTTATTTATATGTATATTTATGTCAGAAAATATTTTAGAAACTTTAGGAGTATCTATCATTTTATCATACTAAAAGAGAACTGTGTGTACCCAGAGAACTGGGAATGTTAAAGAATTTTCTTGTACTTGAAAATATTTAGTAGTAGTTCTCTGTGATAGGAAGAACATAGAGTAACATTTCTAATTTATGGTGCCAACTTGAAATCAAATTCTCCATTTTGCCGTTAGTTTCTTGAACATGTATGCAAATTAGCGATCTTTTATTAGAAATTTGTAAAAGATACTTTAGGCAAAACATCTTATTAAATGTGTGTATTTTTGGTTTTACATGTATTACTAACATTTATTGCAACTCAGAGTCTGGTTACGAATATCTGGATTCTACAGGTGGCATCAGTTTATCAAAAACACTTTGTTTTATTAACACTGACAACTTGGGCCAACAGTAAGCATTATCTTGTGTCAACTGAATTGCCCTAACATGTCTACATGTAATCTGGTGTTATACAGTTGCTACCTTCTTGCTTCAGAAAGTTAATCAGCATCTAATTTGCATTTGTTAATTAGGGTTAATGTGCACTAATTGATTTTTTGATGCTTGTAGATTTCCATTAAACCCGGTTAGCAATACTTACTTGGATACCTCATTCATTTGAGTTATGATCATCATGTTTTTGTTGAATCTGTGCCAAATAGAAAGCCTGCATCATAATTACAGCTAATTAACAGACGATTATGTCCTATATTAATGGGCTTCCCTTGTCTTCTGCTAAGATATGTTATAAATTTCAAGTTTATTTATGGAGTGCTTAGAACTTTTTTAACAATAGAAACTTGAGGCTCTTAATTATTAGAGGGTACATGATTGATCATTTGCTCAGTTTACATTATTTGAAATTTTAGAGAAAAGGAATGTGTAATTTTAGATTAATTTAGGAAGCTTGTTTTATATAATTAATAAATTAGCATCAAATCAGGAAAGTAGGATATTGTGTTATAATTCTGCTTTTTCCACTTAGGAGCAGGTAATAATTGGAATATTCAGGATTTGTAAATATTTATTTGTTTATTAGTTGTTTATGTTATAAGCGGATGTATTTTTTAAGCCTAGTACTGTCACTTTGACTACACGTCAGTCATTTAATCTCTTCGCTCCTCATTTTCTTGTTTTTTAAAGTGAAAGCATCAGGACTAGGTAATTTGTTAAGTTTCCTTTTGGGTTTAGCACTTGTTTGTGATCTGAATAATTGTAACAGTAGGTTTCATTAGAAATTATAAGGCAGAATTTGAATTATTTGTACAGTTTTCTACTTCAAGTATCCTTGTTAATGGTACTGTTCCATTTCATCTAGTACTAATCAGTGTAGCCTGTAATTGGTTTTTTTTTTTTTTTTTTAATGTTTTTATTTATTTTTGAGACAGAGGCAGAGCATGAGCAGGGGAGGGGCAGAGAGAGAGGAAGACACAGAATCTGAAGCAGGCTCCAGGCTCTGCGCTATCAGCACAGAGCCCGACGCGGGGCTCGAACTCACAGACTGTGAGATCATGACCTGAGCCAAAGCCGGACGCTTAACCGACTGAGCCACCCAGGCGCCCCAGCCTGTAATTGTTAAATGATAAACACACTTTTGCAGTTTTGACTTAAGTGTTAAATCCAAAGTGACCTAAAGGGAAATGGAATGTTTTCGTAACTGAGTGTATATGAAAATATTTTAAGGCTTCATGTTTACAAAAACTAGATAAGGAATCCTGTGTTTAAATAGAGAACAAAGAATAAAAAGTTTAAGTAAAAATGTTCTTATGAAATGAACTTTGTACATTTTATCTACTAAAATGTATAACTAAAACGTGTAAAATGTGCAGAACTTTAAGGGCTTAAAAAATACCATTTTATAGCCCATTCTTTTTTTTTTAATGTTTATTTTATTCTTGAGAGAGAGAAGACAGAGCATGAGCGGGGCAGGGGCAGAGAGAGAAGGAGATACAGAATCCTAAGCAGCTCCAGGCTGTCAGCACAGAGCCCAACGCAGGGCTCGAACTCATGAGCCGTGAGATCATGACCTGGCCAAAGTCAGGTGCTTAACTGACTGAGCCACTCAGGTGCCCCTGTAGCCCAGAACTTTGTTCCTATCCAAAGTTCTTAATTTTGAACCTATCACCTGTGGCAGTGTAGTAGTAAAGAAATGTGGTTCTAGAAAAATAATTGTGATATTCCACAATTTATTTATGGGGTCAGTTTATGGTTTGCAGATATAAGCAGCTTTGTCAGAATTACTCTGTAAGTGCTCTAACAGTGACTTCCACAAGAGTTTGACACAATAGTTGTGATTCTTCAGATCTTTAACTATTGTGGATATTCATCAGGCTTTACCCCTGTGTTATTCAGGTCTATTACATGAACAGAATATGGCAAAAATGAGACTGCTTACTTTTATGGGAATGGCAGTGGAAAATAAAGAAATTTCTTTTGATACAATGCAGCAAGAACTTCAGATTGGAGCTGATGATGTTGAAGCATTTGTTATTGATGGTAAGGCAGAACATTTTCATTTTTTTCCTAGAATTTCTCTTCTACCTTGCCAAATAGAAGAGTTTGTATCTTGAAACTGAGTCATATGCTAACAAAGCTAGAGTCTCTTACAGCAGATGTGTATGTTTAGTACATTTGCAGACTATTTTTGCAGCAGGGTGAAAATTCACTGGAAATACAAATTGCTATGTGATTTTTGGTGTTCTGTCCCTTGAAATCATACAGAATAAAGGCCTTTAGGCAGTATAGTACAGTGGTTAAGAGCCTAGATTTTAAGTATCAGACCTAGTTTGAGGGCCAAGTCTTCTTCTGTGAAACAGAAAAGTAGGAGTTACTACGTAGTTGTGAGGATTAAATGAATGAATGCAGGTAAAGCACTTAGCCCAATGCTTGGCACATATTAAATGATCTGTAAATATTGATCATTATGTTTTTTACAAATGGCCAGAAATAATTGCATTATAAAGTGATTTAATTGTTAGAAATTTCTTTCTGGGCTTTTTAAATTTGAAAGTTAGGGGAATTGTATGGTCAGGATTAATAAAACGTACAGAAGTGTTGACATGGTTTCTTTTTAATGCTCTAAGTCTCAAATGGTCCAAAAAGAAGTAATATTAGGTAGGAAATTAGTATCCCCCCCCATATGTGATTGTAGGGGAGAACACTTAGAATTTGTAATAAAAACTACATGATATTCAGTGCAGATTTGCCTGCCCAGCAACCATAGGACAAATGCATGACCTTCCTCTTGGTTCCATCACATTGCTGTGCTTGTTATTAGATTGAAAGAGTCACTTTGTAAAATATTTGAAAATTGTAAGGTTTTATTGTGGTTTACTTAGTTTTATATCTTAGCTGTTTTTCTTGGGAATTTTCCATATAACATATCATGTAAACCATCTTTTTTCAGCGGTAAGAACTAAAATGGTTTACTGCAAAATTGATCAGACCCAGAGGAAAGTAGTTGTGAGGTAAGACACTTAAGATTTTGCAGCATTTTGTGGAACAATTTAGTTTGTCCTGATTATTTCAACTTAAATGTTTAGAGAATGAAGGTGGTGTTCTTACCAGTTGACTGTAGTTAAATAGTTGCTATTTATCATAATTTTATTAAAGTTCAGACTGAATGTGATTAGCTTATTTAATGAAAGAGTCCTATTTTCCAGCACATTTCATTTAATGGCTCAGCATTGGCTAGAATACTAATGACTTTTGTGTCTGGTGTATGTAGTTCAGGAAAATAGAACGTTTAGCATCAATATGGTAAAGATTTTTAAAAAATAATTTAGAAGCGTAAGAGAATTAGAAGCTTATGTCTTTTATGTATATTTAACCTTGTTTTTGGCTAGATACAAGTGTGTAGTATTGTAAAAGAATGCCAGAAGGATAAAAGATTGACTAACATTGTTTTTAATTTTTCAATTTTTAGTCACAGTACACATCGGACATTTGGAAAACAGCAGTGGCAACAACTGTATGACACACTTAATGCCTGGAAACAAAACTTGAACAAAGTGAAAAACAGCCTTTTGAGTCTTTCTGATACATGAATTTTTATGCTATATAGAAAATTTTGTTCTTTTTGGAAAAAATCCAAATCATAGTAAAACATAAACTTCAATTTGACTACAGTCTGGACATTCATTGTCTTAAAAGAAATGTAAAAAGTCACAAATTTCAGAGAATACAAAGTAATAAGTTACAAAGGGTCACCACCTATCTTGTATAATACGGAAGTTGTGTTCTGCAAGGAAGGGGGTTGAAGGTGCAACAAGAGCTTTTTGGTAAAAGGATGTACAGAGGAGAGCACATTTTCTTAAGGGGAATTGGATGCTACCAAGCAATCTTAGCTACCTTAGATGAAGCATTTGCAAAAAAAACATAATTTCATCACATGAAATTGGAAAAGTGTGTATAACTGTAAAGCTTGAAGTGTAACATTCTGTTCTAGTCAAAACCATATGATTGATATTTCAATTAAGTCCATTCACCACTTGAAAGCATTTATCAACGTCCTTTTACTCTGTCATTTTTTCCAGCATCTCTTCTGTTTTTCTTTTCTTAGGGTGGTTGTCATTTTCTAAGCTTAGGAACTTTTCGATTTCATTAACTTGATTTGTTTCCAGGCTCTGCCAGTCCTCTTCACCAGGAGATGATGCAGCCACATTGGTAGTATCTTTAATCTTGATTGCCTGAAAATGGCTTTGTGGCAGAGTTGATTTCAGAGGCTTTATTTTCACCTAGGAAAGACCAAACTTATTTTACTGAGTGTTGAAATTACTCATTTTTTAAAGTCATCAACAAGAGTTAAAATCCTTAAGGCTGTGCAATTATGAGTATGTGATAAAGCCATCATTTTTCTTGGCTAATTTTCAGCAACTACCTTAATTTGGCACAAAAAAACAATAAAATGTGAATGTGGAGGCTTAGGTCTATGTAGTAGCTCCTTGAGATCCCTAATAGAGCCCAGTACTACCATGAACCTTTTCTAAAAGGTCTTAAGCTTACACTGAAAGAAAAGATACTTAAAACAATTACAGATAAAAATCTGTTTTGTCTGCTACTCCCCTTCCCTTCCCAAACATGTCTATGTTTTGTATCTTCTATCAAAACCAGGAGAAAATTAAAAATGCTAACAGAGGTAGACTGCCTTATAAAAACTGCCTTTTACTTCATGTTTCCTCTCATGCTTCAGAGCACCACTGTTGGACAAACAGGAAAGAACAGTGAGGTATTTGGAAGTTGGCATATTTCCAAGGCACTGCATTGGATCATACTTCTAATACTGTGTTTAAAAATTATGTAAGTTTTTAATTTTAAGATTTTTTTTCTGATAATTATTGGAAGTTTAGAAAATAGAGGAAAAAGTATAAAGAAATCAAATTCATTAGTAATCTATCCAGGGAGACCAGTCAACACATTTTAGTATTGTTTGCTACTATCTTTTTTCTATTTTTAGTGTATTTGATCATTCTATAGAATTTTAGATCTTGGTTTTTCCCTCGTGGGCTATTTCCTCAGTCTTTAAAATTTCTCATAAACCATTGTCAGTGGCTGCACAAAAATAAATTTGAGTTAATTTCCTGAAGAAAAATAAATCTTTGATGGTCTTCTTGGATTCCAGATAAAATCTTCTGATAAAAAGTCACATATTTTAGAAACGAACAGGATAAGAATGACATTAAAGTTACCTAAAATCCCAAGTACCATTAAACATTTTGATGTAAATATTCTGGTCTCTCTTCTGTGTATATATACGCTTTCAAAATCTTTTTCTGTTTTGTGTTAAAAATATTTTTAGTATTTTCCTCTGCTCTTAAAAAGTTAACATCATCGCTCCATTATATTCCATGTTCCATAATTTAATATGTTGAACATTTAAGTTGGTGGGAAATGCTCAGTTATAAATTAGGCTATAATGAATGGCATTTGTTCATAGATCTTTGTGAAGATCTTCGAGTACTGCCTTACATTAAAATCTCCCACTTTGACTGGAAAAGGTGGCATATGCATAACGTTTTCAAAGCGAGATTACAGAGTAATAATTCTTAAATGAGCTTAACTGTTTACATTTAACCTCCCTTTCCTAAGAGTTGCTCCTTCTGGATGGGTCTGTTTGGCTCCTGAGAATTCTACAGTCAGCCACCCAGTCCCCTTGTAATCTTAGCCTTTGTTCCTTGCAGTGACGCTATGTCATAGTTTGATTGCCTATGTTCTTATGAAATAACATATGAAAACAAAAGTATCAGCACAGGACTGCCAGGAGACCACAGGCAAGTCATTTAAGTTTTGTGGTCTCACTCTTAGCACCATTTAGTTGCAAAATGCTACTGTAGAGTAACTGGTAATGGATAAAAAAAATGTACATAAATGTGTATTTCTGATAATGTCTTGAATGTAAAAGTGCCCAACATATGTCATTTAGCTCACAGGGCCAAAATGACTGTAGGTCATCCATGCAATACAGAGAATAGATGCAGAGAAAGCAATCAAATTTAAATTTAGTTGCTGATTTTGAGATAAACTCACTGATGGTACCTAATTATAACCTGTTTTTGCCACCACAGTGTGATGCAGTTTGGTGCATTTGTCATCAAGTATAAATTACCTGATTTTCGTTATTCTTTGACTTTTTATCTTGATGATGGAGAGGAAAAAGACATTTACACATAACTACTTTAGTTTCTTTCCCCTTAACTGCCTACTTGGTGGGAGGGGCAGGAGCAGGGATAGGCTGGAGAAGCAAGATGGAGCGTAAAGTTTACATTTAACAAAACTTGTCTGAATTTGACTTATAGAGGTTTTGCAGCCTATAGCAGTAATTCTAGTTCCAGAGATGTTGCTACATATCTTTACTCCTTCCTTTCCCAAAAAATCATTACCTTTTTACCTCCTCTTTCTGCCTAAAAGATCTACTCTTAGGCCTAAAATTGCCCTGAGCCAGATTACTAGCCGCCTTTTTCAGCCTGGGCTCACATTTTAAAATTTAAGTAATTTAATTTAAAAAGGAAAGTAAGGGGCCCCTGGGTTGCTCAGTCAGTTGAGCATCCACCTCTTGATTTTGACTCAGGTCATGATCCCAGGGTTGCAGGATTGAGCCCTGAGTAGGGCTCCTCTCTGAGCATGGAGCCTGCTTAAGATTCTCTCTCCCTCTAGCCCTCATGTGCGCACTTTCCCTATTTAAAATAAAAAATAAAATACATTGTTAAAAGTTGTTACTTGTTAATGCTGTGTTAGTACTACAATTTTTAGTTTATAGGTGCTAAAGAGAAAGTTATTTAATATGTACCTCTAAAATTAAAAAAAAATACATGATGGTTTTAAAATCTGTCCCCATGTAGTTGATTTTTTTCTGTAAGTGATCTTGCCAAACCTTTTTACGTTATACTTTTTAGGAGTTAACACCTAGAATTGCCTGTTTTTTTAGATTTTGAAAAAAAATTTTTTTTTTTTCAATGTTTATTTTTGGGACAGAGAGAGACAGAGCATGAACGGGCGAGGGGCAGAGAGAGAGGGAGACACAGAATCGGAAACAGGCTCCAGGCTCCGAGCCATCAGCCCAGAGCCTGACGCGGGGCTCGAACTCAAGGACCGCGAGATCGTGACCTGGCTGAAGTCGGATGCTTAACCGACTGCGCCACCCAGGCGCCCCTGTTTTTTTAGATTTTGAACAATACAGCCTTTATCGTGCTAAAGTTTTGTACTCTGAGATAATAGTAACTTAAAAATTTTGCCCCAAAACTGGTCAGCTGTGCTTGCTTTTCATATGACAAATGGACTCTTGGAGCCATGTAATGTCTACAAATGTATATGCATACACACACATACATATTCCTATTTGATACTATATATTAAGGATATTTGATCCTTTCTCATACTGTCTTCTGACCAAAGTAATTTAAAAGAAATTCCTGTGCAGTAGTTTCTCAAAATGATGTAATTAAGCAATGTCAAGAACAGTGGAATTTGATTGGATTATTTTAAGGCATCTTTTATTAAGAAAATTTTAAATGCTCAAATGCCACTACTCCTAAATTTAGGTGACTAAAAAAATAGAAGTAGATACATAATACACTACCTCACACTGTCCTTCCCCAAACAGGCTGGATTATATCTATTTGATTTATGCACTGTGACTTTTTCCTGCTGTTTTCCATCAACCTTAATTGTGAAAAATGGTGCCATGTTGCCCTCTTGATATTATTTTGGAGATCAGTTAGGTCTTAAAGCATCCAGATGCATACAGTTCTACACATATCTGTAGAATTAGCTCACTAAGGTCTGCTCAGCAATATTTTTAATTGACTTACGTGTTCTGTGGGAAAAGAAGAATCGTAAAAAGTCTTTGCAATTGCATTCCTCTCTTTGCTGGGCTCTCCCTTGGGATCTGGATGGATACTTGAGCTATTCAAAGTGTCAGCAACTCTGTTAATGCTGGTAGTATCTGGTTGACAAAGAGGAAATGGCAACAACTGAATTTTATTCTCCAGACACTCGTTTTAGTGACTAAACTTGTTTTTCTCTGATCATATCTATGCTTTTGTATTTAAAAAGTAACTATTTCTATTTTGTTTTTAACATTTTATAGTTTACATTGACTTTGCTGTTAATACACATAGGCATTTCAGAAAACATTTTTTATTGCTGCTTTCTAAAACCTGATTTCATGTTAAAATGTGTGAAATGGCATAAATACCTTCTAAAATAACTTAACTCACATAAAACGTTATCCTTCTTCCACTGGTTATTGCATTGCCACAGAGGTAAACATTTATATGAAGTGAGCATCTTACAATTCAGATTAATGGGAAAAGTCTGAATCAACTAAAAGTCGTATTTATGAAATATATTTAAAGAAATGAGCCACAGTAAGAAGCCCAACAAAGGGCTGTCTAGTAGGGATCACTGGAATTTAATAAATAGGTAAAAATGATTTAGAGAAACATGTCAGCTTTGAAGGTTAAAAGATACTTGTATCTTTTATGAGTGGACGTTTTACAAGCTGAATTTCTACAGAATTTTAGATCTCTCCCATTCCATCCTTATTTATATCACGGAGATTGAAGATTAGCCCCTTCACTTACAGCACTTGACTAATTGCAGCATTCAGCAGATTCAAAATTAATGGAATCTGAAGTTACTACATTTTATTAGGAAAGTAGGAAGTTTTTACAGTTTTTGGTGTTTTCTGTTTTTCCCTACATTACTTCTCCATTTATGCTAGTAAACCTGATACACTTCATTTTGCTTTTAATTCCCAATTTTTCTTCAAAGTTCTATCAGTTGTCTTTTTAAAAGAAGCCTATTAGCTAGCTCTGAGGGCCATTCAGAGCTTTCCTTGTAATCTGCATTACTTTAATGGGTCTAAATGCATACTGTTAAACCAGCAAATAAATTAGTTTATAATTTATTTACAAATAATTTTGAGAATATCTCTAACAACCTCCATAACTTTGATTATGAGATTGCTGTTAGCATGATTTTTCATAATCTTAAACTATCGTTCAAATTACATTTGTACAGCACTTATACATGATATGTGGTATATTTCTATTTTTAAGTATTTTTAGTGGGAAGAATTTCAGATACACAAAAAGAGTATGAACCTCGTACCATCACCCGGCTCCCAACACCCATCACTATTAAGTCATACGTAGTTCATCTACCTCCCCCCTATTTTTTTGTTCTAGAATATTTTTATAAAGCAAGACTTGGACATAATGTTATTTCATGTGGTGGTTAGAATACACTATTCTCTGAAATAACGTTTGAATGTTTTAATATTTGGTACATAATTAAGGGATTCCATTTAAAGTGTTTCAGTGACAAATATCAATGATCTGAAATGTATTAATGTTATACCTCAACAATACTTGTAAAATGAAGACAAAGCTGGATTCTAGTACTAGTGAAGGGACAGCTAAAAGAAAAATTAAGGAAAGCAGTAGAAAATTCAGGGAAGCAAGTGAGGGAAGGAAGTTTTTTCAGTATAGAATGAAAAGGAATAAACATGCCCACTGGCAGAAGCCTTAGGAACAACTTGACTCCGATTAGGTAGTTGTTCCTAATTTAAAATTAATGACCAGGGCCTGTGTTCATTTCTGCTATTTCCAGTTCCTTGAGGAATTTTTTTTTTTAATCTGCAATATGCATGTGCACCTCAGTACCTGTTGATACTAGTGGCTCAGATGTAGGTGAAAAGTCCCACTTATGTTTAAGGAAAACCTTTCCCACTTTTACCTATATACATATATGGAGTATTCTGTATTTTAGGGTTAGGCAGTTTTTAAACGAAATGGTTTCATTTGAAACATAACGGTTTGGAGACTATCAAGGATAAGGAGTAGAAATTCAAATTTTAAAAGAAAACCTAAACTTTTTTTTTTTTTTTACCTGGGCCAGTATCCTTCCTGATACCATCAACATTTTTGCAAAGTGTCACTGAAACCATATTTTTGTTTTCTGATGGGCCTGTTGGTCTCTCCTGCAGCAACAAAGGAATGCTAGAGGTTGAAGTGCTCAGTGTTTGACTTTCAATTTGATTTACTTTTGACCAAGGACTGGGGTCTAAGAAATTCACATATACTGGAATTTTCTCAGTTTTTTTATCTGAAGTTGAAAGATCAAAGGCTGACCTTCCACTTCTGTTTACTAAATCTCCAGATGGCTTTATGTGAAATGAACATGATTCTTCCAGCTGTCCTTCACTGTAAATTTCTCCTGAAACGATGTCATTTAATGACTCTGTTTTCTCTGTATTATTTAACAATGTATGCTGTCTTTCATTAACATTCACAAAAAGGAAGAGGTCATTTTTTGTGGCTTCAGTTATCTGATTCTCATCAATCTGACTCTCTTTATTGGAAAACTGTATTTCCGTGGAAGTTTTTGTAGGAACAGCCGTTTTCATGTCTTTGGCTTGTGAAGTATGTACATTCTCATTGTTAATCTGGAGATGGGAAATGGTGACACTGTTTTCTAAATATCCCAAACAGTTCTTTAGTTGACTAGTGTCCATATCATTCAGATTTTTCCATATAGTTCTTTCCCTAGGGCTTGAGTTGGGTTTCACCAATGTAGGCATAATATTAACATTTTTATTTGCATTCTTAAGTACTTTCAAATTATCACTGAAAGCAGATGAAATGGGGTGGTTAACTGCTGTATCAGAGGAAATAGGTAGTTCTGGTTTCTCTGAGGTATCGTTACAGATTTGCTGAAAAACTGAAGTTTGTTTAAATGGCAATACACTGCACTCACTTTTTTTACTTAACAGTTGCATTTGGTTTATTTTACATTGTTTATCATCTAACATAACATTACTTGAATCCTGCAAACTGTATTTCTGACACTGAACAGGATTTTTTACATTTAGAGATGAATCCAGATCTGCTCTGGTTTGGTCACTATTTGGAATTTCCTTGTCTGTGGCATTTTCTTGAATCCCTGGAAGCAATCTGAATTGTTTGAATGGTTCATCTTCAGAACCATCTTTCTTTTGATTTGTATGGTGAGACATCTCATTTAAGATACTGTTAGATGATGCTGTGGTATTTTCAACCTCCAGGTGGATATCTGCATGGTGAAGATCAGATCTTTCAGTTCTTTCTAGGTGTATCTTTTCTGTTTCTGTCGATCTATCTGCCATTAAAAATGAATTGTTTGGTGACTTAAATTCTGTACAATCATTGTCTTTATCCAAATGCACCTTGTCTTTTTTTTCTGAAGTAACTGCTTTTCTAAGGTCTGTAACATTTAAGGTTTGTCCTTGACTGATTAGTTCTTTTTCTATGCAGAGGGTTTTGCTTAGGGAGACTTCACTTTGATTTTCATTCTGAGGTATAGCAGGATCACTTTCATTCTTGGAGCTTTTTTCAAAAAGCTGTAAATCTGTCATGATGAGAATACAGTAAATTTTTATATTACACACTAAAGCCTGCTTTTATAAGACAAAATGTATGACCTATTTTTATAAAAACATATTTAGTCTTAAATATTTCATTGGCCATTACACAAAACACCAGTTTTACCTAAATGTTGAGTTATCTTTGTCATATATTTAGCATGCTAAATATTTTCGGCTCTCCTCATATTAAATTTTTATTTCATAACAACAAAAGCATTTTTGGTTGAAAAAGGGGCAAGTAGGTTGAGGATATTACAAAATGGTTTTTAGTTCTCTAGTCTATTACACTTCCTTTTGAGCATACAGTACAATTCCATGTACACACAGCTGAGTCGATAAAAATGAATTTATCCTAACAAGTTAGACTCTAATTTCTATTACTACTGTCAAACAAAAATTTAACCAAGGAAATCTGAAGATCTAACTGGCTTCATTAAATGATCCATTCAATCAGGCAGCATTCCACCTAGCAAATAGAAGCCCCACTAAGCTATAGAAAAGGAAAGGTTTTAAAAGAGAATGAGTGGAAAAAAATTTATTAGCAAAGAATCCATTGTTTTAGGCAAGGTCACTCTCCTAATGGGAAAGGGGCCTACCAGATTTCTATTGCTGACCAGGAAATTCCAGGTTAACTGGTTAAAGGTTATATTCCTGGGGGTTGAAACTACAGTTTGCTTAGGTACTGAAGGCTTGCTGACATTGGGTTCTTAATACAAGTGATTCCATTTTAGGCCTGTGGTTTTCTTTGTATCACTATCTACGATCCAGAATTGCTAGCTGATTTCAAGACTGACAGTTGTCACTTGATCATTACCTTCTAAGTATTTAAAAATTTTTGGATACTTTTGGGCAAATGTTTAGAATACTTATTTTATTCATCTGGGTTTTAACCATAGATTTAAAATTTTCTGTATAGTTAAAATAACCTAGAACACAAAATTCAGGATTTGAAGGACTTTAGTCCATTCATTCTCTCTACAACATCTCCACCAAGTGGTTCAGCCTAGGTTTGAACATGTTCATACAATAAGTTTATGGTCTTTAAACAACTCTTTTTCAAGACAGACAAACTAGTAAATTATTTCAATGGTTACAGAAAGGTCTTTTGAACTAAGGAAAGTGCTCCAGGTCTGATTATCAGAAGGTTATGGGTAGCCCAGAGAACACACTCCCCAAGGCAGTGAAGACAGAAACCATAATGCAAAACGCCATGGAGTAAGTGATTAGGGAAGACAGGAATGTAATTTTCCCCCAAAATATTGACTCTAAATGACATCTCAAAAGAAGCCTGTCTTAAGACTTACACAAATGAAAAAGTATTTCTTTTTTTTTTTTTTTAAATTTTTTTTTTTTCAATGTTTATTTATTTTTGGGACAGAGAGAGACATATGAACGGGAGGGGCAGAGAGAGAGGGGAGACACAGAATCGAAACAGGCCCAGGCTCTGAGCCATCAGCCCAGAGTTCCCGGTCATGGGCTCTGAACTCACAGACCGCTTAGATCGCGGGATCTGGCCAGTTGATTGCTGCGAACTAACTAAGGCGCCACCCAGGCGCCCCTGAAAAAGTATTTCTTCAGATACAGTACAAGATCCTCAAAGACTATATATAACTGATATTCCCCTAAATTCCATAGATGGCCTAGCACAGCACTTTGACAGATCCTTTATTTGTAGGAGAAAAGGTGGGGGTGGGGCTCTCAATACATCAAATTAGAAAATATCAATGTGTTAGGTTACCTTCTATTATTTCTATAAATGGGTCTTCTTTCTTCTCCTTTTCTCTGTAGTTAGTATCTGAACAAAAACTCATGGTGTCTGTCTTTATTTCTTGTCCAGAATTACATTTCTGTATGATAGTATTTTCTGGTTTTTCCATTGACATTTCACTGTTTTTAGTATTTACTTCTGGAAGATTCTAAAGTAACATGGAAAAAATACCTCTAATGTAAAAAACATTGTTAAAAAGTATAAGACATTTGAACAAATTTTGCTGGTAAAAGTGGAATCTGTTTCAAGTCAACCATTCAGCAATTTCTATTTAAAAGCCAAATTATTATTTTTTACTAAGTTTAATATACTACTTTTTAATTTTTTTTAATGTTTATTTTTGAGAGAGCACGTGTGCGGGAGCGCAAGAAAGCGGGGGAGGGGCAAACAGGGAGACACAGAATCTAAAGCAGGCTCCAGGCTCTGAATTGTCAGCACAGTGCGTGACGCAGGGCTTGAACTCACCAGCCTTCGAGATCATGACCTGAGCTGAAGTCAGACACTTAACTGACTGAGCCACCCAGACGCCCCAATAATACTCTTTGTAACAAGATCACTTTAACTACATTTTGTATGGTCTATCATATTTAAACAAAATTGAGACCCTTTGATGTTTTCAAACATGCATTCCACATTATTATGTAATTTCACATATATAATAAAAGAACCACTCTTATTAAAAGCAAAGTAGTCATGGCAAGCAAATTGTTTTGAGTGTTTGGTATTTTTATGCATCTTTAAAATAATGAATCAATTCAACCCCCTGTATATTCAGCACTTGTTCCATGGAAGCACTGCACTAGGCTTTGGGATACATTGATGAACAACATAGTCCCTAGCTTCAAAAAACTCACAATCCAGTGGGGAAGATAGGAAAAGAAATAATATAGATGGGGATAAGAAGGCACTCCAGGGAAAACATGGCATAGACAGATGCTTAAAAGCAAGCAAGAGTATAGTCTTTACATGGAACTACTCATGTTTTACTTCAGCTAGAGCTTGGACACTGGGAGAATGGAGAGAAATGAGGCTTGGGATGTTATGCCCAGGTCATTAAGGGCCAAGTATAGGATGCTGAGGAGTTTCAGGAAGACAACTGAATGGTTTTAGACAAGTAACATCTGACTGGAAAGACCATTCTGGCTGCAGCATCAAGAATAATGTTTCAAACTCGATGATTAAAACCTGCAATGAGAAATGTTTTACAACAGCAAGCACACCAAGTAATGTCTACTCTTAATGTGATGCATTATGTTTTATATGCACTTTATTTCATTTTTTAAATACTGGCCCACAAATCACTAATTTCCATGACCACTAATAGGCTGTGCATAGAAGTCTGAAAAATACTGAATTAAAGGGAGACAACATGAGACAGAGATGCATCAGAAGAGTGCCATAGTGTCACAGTCCATGTGATAGCAGTAAAGATGAAGAACTGAATAGATACAAGAAGTATTTACAAGCTAATCAATAGGACTTGATGAATGATAAGAAGGAGAGTCCAGATTGATTTACAGAGTTCAGGTTACAGAATTCAGATTCACCATAGGTGACTGGTGGATGTTATTTACTCAGCTAGAAAACAGGAGTTAGTAGCAGATTTGGAGGAAAATATCATGGGTTGTTTGAACCTGCTGAGTTTGAAGAGTTAGGAAGATATTAAAGTAGAGAAGTCTAATGAACATTTAGATACATGTATCTGGAGTTTACGAGAGAAAATTTACCTGGAAGTGTATATTTGAAAATCATGGATAGATAGATGGCAACAGAAGATGTACAAGTTGATGAAACTAATAAGAGTATATTTTGAGGGGGGAAAAGGGTATAGGATAAAATGCTAATGAAAACCATTGCAGGAAAAATCAGCAAAGGAGATTGACAAAAAACAATATGGTAGTTTCTAGGAGAATAAATTCAATTCTGTTTATAAAGCATATAACTCATGGTTGCTTAATTAATGGTAAGAATAACTATTATTTCCACTTTAAAGAGAAGCTTGAGAGGGAGAAACACAGATGAGTAAAATATGGTAGAAGAAAAGGAGAACAGGTATTCAAGAAGGAGACAGTATCAATGTATTATCAAAAGGACTGAAAAATGTCCATTGGAAGTAGTGTCCATCCATTGGATGGGTGGGAGGGGTGAAGCCAGATTGCCCTATGTTGAAGGATGAATAAATAGGAAGGAAGGAACTAAAGGGTATGAGTTTAGACCACTCTTTGAAGAAACTTGACTCTACAGGGGAAAACAGACTTGTATTTAGAGATGGACATAGGATCAAAAAGTTTTTTTGTGTGTACTTGTAAATGAGAATATATACACTAGTAACTCAAATGTAACTGACACACATGAAAATATGTTTAATAAAAATGTAAATAAAAACTGATAAAAGTAACGGGGTGCCTGGGTTGCTCAGTGGGTTAAGCATCTGACTCTTGATTTTGGCTTAGGTCATGATCTGACAGTTTGTGAGTCTGAGCCCTGCATTGGGCCTGCTTGGGATCCTCTTTCTGTCTCTCTCTCTCTCTCCCTCTCTCCCTTCTCCCCCCCTCCCCAAATAAATTAAAAACAATTTTTTTTAACTGATAAAAGTATTCGAGTTTGGGTATACAGGTACTTTTATATGTGATTGGTGGGAGTATAAATTGGTACAATCTTTCTGGAAGGCAATATGTGTCAAAACTATAAGTAAACAAGCTCTTTGACCCAGCAAAACTGTTTCTGGAAATTTATCCTAACGAAATAATTGCAAAAGTACAGAAAATTTGTACAAGGATGTCCTACAGTGAAGGACTGTATAAATTAATTATGGCACAGGAACTGTGATATGTCAATTTCAACGGACTTAGAAAGACATCCACTCTTTGAGTTAAAACAAGGCAGTTCCTCAAAATGTTTATTATAGAATTGCCATATGACTCAGCAAATCCACTCCTAGATATATACCCCCCAAAACTGAAAACAGAGACTCAGATGGTTGTACGTCAGTGTTCAAAAGAGTGTTACTCACAATAGCCAAAAGGTGAAAGCCCAAGTGTCATTAACAGATGAATGAATAAACAAAACATCGTATATCCATACAAGGGAATATTATTCTGCTATAAAAGGAATAAAGTTCTAATACATGCTGCAACACGGGTCAACTCTGAGAACTTTATGCTAGGTGAAATAAGTCAGACAAAAAGGAAAAGTATTACACAATTACACTTACATAAAATATACAGAATAGGCAAATTCATAGAGTTGGAAAGTAAACTAGAGGTTACTAGGAGCTGAGGAGAGAGGGAAGTCTGGAGTCACTGGTTAATGGTTACACAGTTTCGGTTTGGAATGATGATAAAATCCTGGAAATGGTGAAGATTGCACAACTCTATACTTCTAATTAATGCCAGTGAGTTGTAATTTTAAATGTCAACAGAAACAAAATGACAGAGATGATGGATTTAGCAAACAAAATTTTAAACTATTATAAATGTTCAAGGATTTAAAGAACAACAACATGAATATAATAAAAAATATATACCCCCCCCACACACACACACACACACAAGAAGTGGAAATTCTAGAGATGATATATACAGTATCTGAAATAAAAACTCACTGGATAGGCTTAACAGATTAAACAAAATAGAACAAAAGATAATTGGACTTCAGGACACAGAAAAAATAGAAAACCCCAATGGAAGAAGTGAGAGAAAAAAGACAAAAAGATGTGCAGCACCTGGTAACCTGTGGGATGTTTATCCTGCTAGTTTAACATGTGTAGCTGAAGTCCCATAAAAGGAAAGGAAGGGGACAGAAAAAAAATCTGAAGTAATGACCAAAAATCCTCTAAATTTAATGAAAACTATAAATCTACAGATTGAAGAATTCATTCCACAAATCCCAAACAAAATAACCAAACCAAGGTACACCAGAGATAAAAAAAAAAACAAAACAAACAAACAAAACACTTACAAAGAGGATGTGAATATAATAACTGTAGACTTCTTGCCAGATGCAACATAAGCAAGAAAATAGTGCAACAGCATCTTCAAATTAATGAAAGAAAAGTATTGTCCATCTAGAATTTTATATCCAGTGAAAATACCCTTTAAAAATTAAGGAGAAATACACATTTTTCCAGACAAAAGCTGTGAAAATTCCTCACCCAGATGCACCTGTGCACGCACACACAAACAGACACGTACACACACACACACACACACACAATTAAAGGAAGTTCTTCAAACTTAAGCAATAGGATACCAGGTAGAAACCTGGATCTACAGAAGTGAATAAAGAGGGCCAGGAACGGCAAATATGAGTGAATATAAAAGATATTTTCTCTGATTTTTTGGGTGCCTGGCTGGCTTAGTGAAGCAGTGACTCTTGATCTCTCAGGGTCGTGGAGCCTACCTAATTAAAAAAAACAAAAAGACATTTTCTAATTCTTAATTTTCTTAACCAGGTAATTAATTTAAAATGAAATAACAGGGCTGTGTGGCTCAGTCAGTTAAGCACCTGACTTTGGCTCAGGTCATGATCTCGCTATTCATGGGTTCAAGCCCCACATCAGGCTCTGTGTTGACAGCTCTGAGCTGGGAGCCTGCTTCAGATTCTGTCTCTCTCTCTCTCTGCCCCTCCCCTGCTCACACTGTCTCTCTCTCTCTCAACAATAAACATTAAAAAAAAATTGGGGCACCTGGGTGGCTCAGTTGGTTAAGCGTCTGACTTTGGCTCAGGTCATGATCTCATGGTCCGTGAGTTCAAGCCCCGCATCAGGCTCTGCTGACAGCTCAGAGCCTGGAGCTTGCTGCTTCAGATTCTGCATCTCCTTCTCTCTGTGCCCCTCCCCAACTCGCATTCTGTCTCTGTCTCTTTCTCAAAAGTAAATAAACATGAAAAAATTTTTTTAATTAAAAAAATAAAATTAAACTAAATAAAATAATATATGGTGGAGTTGATAACATACGTAAAAGTGTATTATAAAAATAACACAAAGACTGAGTAAAAGAAAATGAGAATATAGTATTGTAAACTTCTTACTAACCAAAGAATTTAACATAATTTTGAAAACAGACTATGTTCAATTAAGCTCTAGAAAAGTAGTTGACAAACTATGGCCAGTGGGCCAAATCTGGCCTACTGTTTTTGGAAATATAATTTATTAGTACACAACCATGCCCATGCCCATTTATTAATGAACTTAATGCCACTGAACTGCACACATATAGTTTTAGTACATTTTATGTATATTTTACCACAATAAAAAAATATATATATAAGAAACAGTTCTCAAAAAGAAAATATAAAAATTTCTCATGTTGATTTTTTTTTAATGTTTATTCACTTTTTGAGAGAGAGTGTGAGCAGGGCAGGGGCAGAGAGAGAGAGGGAGACACAGAATCTGAAGCAGGCTCCAGGCTCTGAGCTGTCAGCACAGAGCCTCATGTGGGGCTTAAACTCACGAACTGTGAGATCATGACCTGAGCCGAAGTCGGACGCTTAACCAACTGAGCCACCCAGACACCCCAGACTTTCTCATGTTATTACTCAACATAAAGAAATTATGAATATCCCCACTGAAAAAGTAACAGGATGAAAAGGATATATAATGCAAACACTACCCATAAAAGATGGAACAGCTGCATTAATATTATACAAAATAGACTTCAAGATAAGAAATATTACTAGGATAAAGATGGATCAGTTAATCAAGAAATAACAATCATAAATGTATATACACCTAATAATAGAGCTTAAAAACACACAAAGTAAAAACTGACAGTACTAAAAATGGAAAGATAAATTCACAAAAATTTCAATAGTCTTCTCCCACTAATTGATAGAAGTACACAAAAAATATCAGGACAGAAAAGACTTGAACATCATCATCAACCAGCCTGATCTGACATTTATAAAACATTCAACTGACAAATAACAGAATATGCATTCTTTTCAAGAGCACATGAAATATTCACCAAGATAGGCAATATGCTTGGCTAACAAGTCTTTTGAGAAAGGATATTTATATTTAAAAGGATATATTTATATTGAAAAGGATAAAAGTCTTACAGAAAATGCTCTCTGACTACAACTATATTATATTTGAAAACATTAACAGAAAGATACTTGGAACATTCTCAAATACTTGGAAATTAAACAGTTATAGGTCATACCCATACGATGGTTCATACCCATTCCCATGGGTCAAGGAAGACCTCACAAAAGGAATTTTAAAATATGAATAAGAATGATACCACTACAGGAGCACCTGGGTGGTTAAGTGTCCGACTCTTGGTTTCGACTCAGGTCATGAGCTCTCATGGTTTCATGAGTTCAAGCCCCGCGTTGGGTTCTGCGCTGGCAGTCCAGAGCCTGCTTGGGATTCTCTCTCTCCCTCTCTCTCTCTGCCTCTCCCCAACTTGTGCTATCTTTGTCTCTCTCAAAATAAACCAATAAACTTAAAAAAAGTTAGAATGAAACCACTACATATCAGAATTTGTGGGACGAAGCTGTAACAATGTTTAGAGGACAGTTTATAGCTTTAAATGCTGATATTAGAAAAGAAGAAAGGCCAATAATCAATGATCTAAGTGTCCATGTTAAAGAGCTGAAAAAACCACATCAAATCCAAAGTAAGTAGAATGTAAGTAAGGCTCCATAATAAAGTTAACAGCAAAAGCCAGTGAAATAGTAAATGAACAAACATGAGACGGACATCAATGAAGTCAAAACCTGGTTCTTTGGAAAGGCAAATAAAGCTGAGAGTCTAGCTAAATTGACGAGAGAGAGGAAGAAGAAGAGGAGATGGAATGGGAGGAAGGGAAAGGTGGGACGCACAAATGAAAGAGGGACATCAGTATAGATCTGATAGAGAAAGGGAACAGTAAAGGAATATTATGAGCAACGCTTTGCCAATAAATTTGACAACTTAGATGAAAAGGACAAGTTCCTTGAAAGACAAAAATTACCAAAAATGATTGTGTTGTAAGTCTCCAAGACTACCCCCAGGTTCCATGATTTGCTAGGAAGACTCACAGGACTCAGTATACAGTTGTGTAGTAGGGTCCCCTCTCTAAGGAAAGGAAAGGAGAGGGAAGGGGAGGGAGAAGAAAGAAAGAAAGAAAAGAGAGAAAAGAAAGAAAAGAGAGAGAGGAAGAAAGAAAGAAAGAAAGAAAGAAAGAAAGAAAGAAAGAAAGAAAAGAAAGAAAAAGAAAGAAAAAAGAAAGAAAAAAAGAAAGACCTCAACGTATGCATACATGACAATATCCCTCACGACCTTGTAACCTAAGACCACTTAATCAGACTACAGGTTAATGTGTGACCGTATATGGGAGACAAAGAAGTAAAAATATATAAAAAACTACGCCACTTGGCATTCAAGGCTCAGTTCTTTGGGAATGAACCAAACTGAGAGGTGCCCACATGAATAAAGTTGCTTCCTGGAAAGAAAAGCCTCAGTGTCACAACTCTGTGTGTGAGAATCCTGCTACAATTGTACTAGTGACTAAGACTTAGTACAGCAAAAGAATACACAGCAAAAAAACATCACAAGGAAATATCAACGTGAAGTCTGGAGCAAACCAACAAATTCTATCTAATATTTAGTAAAGAAATAAAACCAATTCTATACAATACTCTTTCAGGAGGAGAGAACACATTCTAACTCATGAAGCCAGTATTACTCTAATACAAAAACCAGACCAAAAGAATACAAAGAAAAAATAAGCAAAACATACAAATCAGTATTCCTAATCAATGCAAAATCCTTAATATACCATTAGCAAATCACATCCAGCCATATATAAAAAGATAATACATTTTTTAGGAATGCATATGAGGGAGGGAGACACAGAATCTGAAGCAGGCTCTAGGCTTTGAGCTGTCAGCACAGACCCTGATGAGGGGCTTGAACTTACGAACAGTGAGATCATGACCTGAGCCGAAGTGGAATGCTTAACTGACTGAGCCAACCAGGTGACCCAGGAATGCAAGGTTATTTTAAATTTGGAAATCAATTAATATAATTAATTGGTTAATATTAACATATTGACAGAATAAAGAAAAAATATGATTATCTCAACAGATACAGAAAAAGCATTTCTCAAAATTTAATACTGATTCATTATAAAAACTCAGCAAACTAGGAAGAAAAGGAAACTTCCTCAATCAGATAAAGAACACGTACAAAAAACCTATAGCTAACATATGAAATGGTGAAAGACTAAAAATTCTCCATCTGAGATAAAGCAAGTCCACTGTCATGACTTTTTTTTTTTTAATGTTACTTATTTTGAGAGAGAGAAGAAGAGAGAGAGAGAGAGAGAGAGCAAATGCACGAGTTGGGGAGGGGCAGAGAGAGAGGGAGAGAGAGAATCCCAAGTGGGCTCCAAGCTGTCAGCACAGAGTCCAACACAGGGCTCAATCCCACAAACCTGAGCCAAAATCAAGAGCTGGACGCTTAATGTGCTGAGTCACCAAGGCACCCCCACTGTCACCACTTTTATTCTACATTGTACTAGAAGGTCTTAACTACTGCAATAAATTGAGAAAAAAATAAAATTCATACAAAGCAGAAGGAAGGAAAAAAATATCTTTAAATTCACAGATGACATAATGTACACAGAAAACCCAAAAGTTAGGTGAAAAAAACTACCATTACAATAAATTTAAAAGGTAATAGGATACAAGGTCAATGCACAAAAATCAAATTTTACTTCTATATACTAGCAAGAAACAATTAGAAAATTAATTTTTAAAATACTGTTTATAATAGGATCCTAGAACATGAATTATTCAGGGATAAATTTCACCAAACATTTTAAAGATCTACACAATGAAAATGACAAAGCATTCCTGCGGGGTATTAAAGAATGTCTAAATAAATATAAACATATGCCATGTTCATGAATTGGAGGACTCAATAGTTAAGATGTCAATTTTTCACAAATTAATCTATAGATTCAACACAATACAAAGTCCCACAGACTTGTTTTTTAGAAATTGACAAACTGATTCTAAAAATTATATGGAAAGCAAAGAACTCAGAAGAGCCAAAACAATTTTGAAAAAAAAAATTGAAGGATTTGCACTACCACATTTTAAAACTTCTTACAAAGCTATACTAACAAAGGCAGGGTTGCATATTGACTTAATGATGAACATAATCAATGGAACATAATAAAGCATTCAGAAATAGATCCATACATATATTAGACCAATTAACTTTCAAAGAACATACCAATGTAAAATGAGAGAAAAAAATGTCTTTTCAAAAAATGTGCATGTTGGAACTGGAAATCCATGTCGAAAAAAATGACCCTCAATCCTTATGTCATACTGTACACAAAAATTAACTGAAAATGTATTATAGACCACATGCTTTTATACTCCTATTTTAAAATTTGAGACACTTAAAATATAAAGCAAGAAGAAAACCATCAGTGATGGTCCTAATTTCTTTCAGTTTTGTAACCACAAAACACTTGAATTTTACCTGAAAGTTCTCGTTTTCCTCAAACTTCTTCTGATGACATAATTCATTGTAATGTTCTTGTAACTTAATATGAGTTTCTTTAAGTGATGATAACTCATTTTTAATCTCATTAATTTCTCCAGTAAGTTCTTCAACCTAATATAAAATTTAACCAAAAATAGTTGTATAAGTGTGTTTTATATGAGAATATTTTATTAACACAAGTTTTTGGAAAAAGTAAAAAATAAAAAAGATGACAAAATTAATATCAAGAGCTACCATTTATTGAATTGTGCTGAGTACTTAATAAACATAATTTATACTTATAAAAATCCCCATTTACAGGTGAGAAATGTAAAGCTCATAGATGTTTAAGTAATTTGCCTAGATCAAGTGGATATAGTCAGGATCCAAACCCAAAGCTATTTCTAGGGTTTGTATTCTTAACTACTATATTAAACTACCTCTTGTTACAAATGAAAAAGTATTATTCTTAATCATAAAAGCTCTATAAAAGTTATGCCTTTATTGCTTTTTCCAAGTTTTATTTTATTGTTGCAAATTAGACATACAGATTTTAACTCTACTGAATGAAGAGTACTGAGCATTAGTACAACAATAACTGACACTTCAGCCTAATATTTACATCTATAAACTGGGCTTTCACTAGCTATTTAAAATGTCATAATCTTTTTCTTGGGGGAATACTCTTTCACGGGAACCTCAAATATAAGACAAAGTAAGTGCCACTGAGTCCCTACAGAAGCTAACAGACATGAACTCACCTATTACTTTCCCTTCGTCTCATCTGTTTTTAACCTTTTAAAAATCTATCTGTGCAAGGTACTTCTCTTCCAAAGCTCAACTCTCCATGAGTTCTTTATCCCATCCTTTCCAATCTCCCTCAGAGCCTACCTCCAGCACTAATCTCCTCTCTGCTGCTTATTTACAATCCTTCCCAATATGCCAGCATGTTCTCCTCAGCCCACAAATATGCTCTTCTCACATTCCTAATTTATTTTTATCCTTGACCCATTTACTGTCTCTCTCACTTCTTAAAATAAAAATCCACACTTGCTAGTTTCAAATTCTAACCTCCCATACTCCTTAACAACCTGACTTCTATCCTCATTGGTCTACAGATCCCTCCTCCCAGCCCCCGCTGGCAGATATCACCTGTAAATTAGCAAAAGGATTTTTCCCAAGTTTCATACCATTTAACAGCTCTGTAGCAGGACTACATTGCCTACTTGTTCTTGGAACAGCCTCTTTGGTTTTCATGGTACTATTCTTCCTCTCTCCTCCAACGTTGCTCACTGTCCTTACCAGGCTCCCCGTCCCGCCCTGCCCCAACACACACCCACCCTACTCTTTCTTCCATAGGATTCGTCACAAGTCCTCCACTCCTTCCATAGATGATTAGACCATACCTTCAAATTTCATCTTCATGCTAATAAATCTTAAATCTGTATCTCATCTCCCAACCCCTCTCCTTAGATTCAAGTTTTCTAAATGCATGGTATGCATTTCAGGCTAGATGTCCTGCAGGCAGTATAAATTCAGCAGCTTCCAAATTAAACTCATTTTCATCTACAAATCTTCTTCTCCTTCCACCTTCCTTATGTCACTTAATGACATTATCATTCTACTAGTTATACTAATCATAGAGTCATGTTTGACTCCTTTCCCCTTCTAATACTTTATGTGAAATGTCACTTAACTCTGCCAATTCCACTTTTAAATGCTTTTCGCATCTACTCCTCTTCTCTGTTCTCACTACTGTTGTCCTCACTGACACCATCATAGGCTCAAGGTTAGATTATTTACAGTGTTCCTCTTACTGGTCTCTTTCCATAAAGCCATCTTCCATTCTGTTGCAAGAGTTATTTTCCTAAAAGATCTGTCGCTTTTCTGCTTTAATATTCTCAATGGCTTCCCTTTACTTATAAAATTCAACTTCCTTAGTAAGGAGCCTTTTGAAAGATGATCTCAACCTATTTTCCAATGTCACATTTCACATATCCTATGCTTTATTCAAATCAGATTACTCATCACCCTTGAAGATGCAGTTTCACACCTCCATGATTTTTCCCATTCTTTACTAAGTGGAATGCCAGCAGGATGGAAAGAGAAGTGTAGGAAATGGACACATGTTGTGTGGTGAAACCCTATTTATCTTTCCAGACCAAACTCTAGTGTCATCTTTTCTCTAAAACTTTCTCCAACCTAGCTAAGTGATATGATTTATTTTGTACTTTCACAGTAATTTGTTAATACTACTTAAACTACTCCATGTTACTGTGGTTAATTTCATAGTTATCTGTCCCTTTTAGAGTGTGAGCTCTTTATTAATCTAAATTTATTTTAGGCATTTCTGAAAATCCAGTGCCTGGAATGGTACCTAACACAGTAGATGATCAACAAATGTTGTGAATTGAATTCCTTTTATAACCAACCCCTTCCACTAAGTATTTTCTGAACAACCTCATTTATTGTCTTTTGTCTATGTATATCCATTAACTATGTAACTAGTCAAATGCAAACAGATGCATACAACATGTTCTTTATAAATTTCAATGAATTTTAACTGTACTATCTAATAATAGTCACAAAGTTTTATTTGTACGATATTTCTTTTACTGTTGTTGTTTTGGAGAGGGGTGGAAATAGCAGTTTATATGATTCCATCTTATTTTTGCCAGTATCTTTTTAAGTTTTTAAAAACCCATCTTGATACAATTCTCTAGCAACACCTGCACTGTCCTTCACTCAAGAATGGTGAAAAACTTACAAAGAGATAGAAATACAATTAAAGAGTAGATCTGACCTCCCACTCAAGAAAACTCTTATGTAGAACCATAGCAGCTTTTTCTTATTTAACTATGTTTTGTTTAGTACTAAAGCATATGGAAGTGAAATGATTGTAGAAACTAAAGTATCTTAAGACAAAACCAATTTTATACAAATTTACAGATGGAGGCCTCACCTTATTGAAACTGCTTATTTTTTGGAATCAATTGATTTTTCCCTATGAGAAGGGCATGGTTATAGTTTCAGGGAAAAGGAATGTCTTATTTTCTTAGGGCAACTAATCTTTTTGTGGGGGGAGGGGAATGGTTGACATAGTTAAGTATATTCTCTTTTCACTTTACAGTTTTCCTTATCCCAACAGTACCATTTCCAAGGTTTCTAAACATCAGGAATAATAAGGAAGTGTTAAGATGACATGTGAATTCACTTAAGCTAAAATGAACGTTACTATGCTTCTTGCTTAACAGTAAACTTTACTTGTACAGAGAGTAAGCATTTTTTAGTATTCTGATACAACTAACTACAAATACTTTTTGAGATTTGGATAAACCTTATTAAATTCATCAGTGAAGACTTGATCTCTCCAAAATACAAATTAAGAGAACATGTTAGCTGCAAATGAATTGAAAAATCAAGAGTTACTTATATAACAATTTATATCAAAATCTATAAAATGTTTCTCAACCTGGTACTCAGATATATATATTAGTATAAAATATATTACATTATTATAGTATTAGAAAAGTATAGTGTAATTAGTATAATAGTCCAAAACATAATCTTTCTTTCCCAAAATATAGTTTCCATAAACTCATCATGACTTTCTATTGTGTGAATTCTTTTGAAAGAATTGAATGGAAATGAAAACACACATTAAAATAGAATCATCAGTTTTGGGGCCCACCAATATTTGAAGTGAACCTTTATATTTTACAATTTTAATTTATACCATTTCATACTTTTATTATCTACTTTACTAAAATGAAAATTTAGTGTAAACTAAATGGATGTGGTTTAAGGAAATATCTATGTTTATAACATATCAATTCTTTATGATAAAATGTTAATACTATAGAACTCAAATACTGTACACGTTCTAAACATGGTTTTAATACGTCTCAACAAAACTGCTACTAATAATAGTACCTATATAATTATTTTAATAATTTACTAAAATACTATGCAATTACTTTATGAAAAGGTAATTAATTTTTCTCTGTCACATATGGGAAGTCATTCAAATTATATATATCAATATTTATATAAATATAAATATACACACATGTATATGTGTGGTTTTTCAGGCATGAAAGCATTACAGGAAATTTTATTAAATTTAGCTTTTCAACAGCATTCACTTCTTGGAAATACAAGTGCAAGAAGAACATGTGTCTGATTTTATTCCTATATGATTTTTGCAATATTTTCTTAGCATTTAATAGTTATTTTAAATGTCTACAACTATTTAAAATATTTTAATATTTTACTATTTAATAAACCTACATGCTTTTTCCAAGTTCCCAGTGCTTTCTCATGCTCATTTTGAAGATTAAGGAACTTTTCTTCATTTTCTTTTACCTTCTCCCTTTGCAGCTCATTATCTCTTTCAAGGGTCTGCAATAAAATTAATTATCCAAAAAATAATCAATACCACATTAATGAATTTTGATGTGTTTTATGTTGCTTGGACCTTTGCTTCTAACATGCTGAAAGTGCCATACAGATCAGTGATAATGTGCTATCTCAACAATAATTTTCATAAATTAACAGAAAGGTGCTTATAGTTTAGTTAACAGGAAATAGGGGGAGGTTATGAAAAAGAAATGGCTATAAAAGGGTATAAAAACATTGCCATTATTCAGTTTCACTGCATAAGTTTTAATGCACTGAAAAAGTAATATAAAGTACAGCACTGAAAAATATGAAATGTAGCATAATCCAGCCCAACTCTACTACAAAATTTTAACTACCACAGAACATTTTTTCCATATCTATTTATTTTAGAAATTAACTAGCTAAAAACCCTTAAATACAATTTTAATTTTTAATTTCAAATTAACACATTTTTAGTACAGCTTCAATATTTACCATATGAACTCTTACTTCATAAATTAACATTAATATAATCACTACACCCCCTCCAAAAAAACCTTTAAGACTAAAAAATACTGTTTTCTAAGACAAGGATTTGAAACGTATTAAATTATTGTCACCAATATTATTAGGTTTCTTCAATGTCTGCTGATAATCCAAGTAAACTTCTGTTAAAAAAAAAAATAGTTAAGAACTCTACCTACATGTCTAATACATCTGGAATTTTTAAGTTTATTTATCATTAGGAAAGCTATGTATGTTCAAAGTAAACATTTCAAGCCACACAAAGGATATAGAAAGAAAAGGTAAAGTATTCCTCTATCAGCTCTCCAATTCTCCTCCCCAGAGGTAACCACTCTAGCAGTTTTTTGCGTTGCCTTCCAGAAGTTGTCTCTAAGCATACTAGTACATAAAATATGTCTTTTCAAATACAGATGAGACCATACCATACATATTGTGTTCTTCTGCAATCTGTTTTTTCTTAAAAAATGAATATTTCTTGCTTACTTTCCATGCCATAAAGTACAGATCTATCTCATTTTAAAGGCTTCACAGTATTCTATTTAAATTGTATCCACCTGTTCTCAGTTGCATCTAGAGTATCAATACACAATGACATTATTATGCAAAATTATGGAAATAGCTAATAAAAAGCATTTTACAGTTTAAACATCAAAATTCTCCTTTAGCACATAAAGAGCATAACTGCACTTTAATAACTTTCAATGAATACCTATTTTGACTGCCTCTACCTCAGGATAATGTAAATATATATATTTTTAAAGGTTTATTTTTTATTTTTGAGACAGAGAGAAAGAGAGTGTGTGCCTATATGCAGGGGAGGGGCAGAGAGGAGGGTACAGAGGATCTGAAATGGGCTCTGTGCTGACAGCGGAAAGCCCGATACAGGGTTCTAAGTCACAAACGGTGAGATCATGACCTGAGCCAAAGTCAGACATTTAACCGACTGAGCCACCCAGGAGCCCCGATAATGTAAATATTTTTATAGAAGTCATGTGTTCCTCTTAATTTACATGGAACATAATAATAGAACAGTTTCTGAATATTTACAATGCCTATATTTAATAGATGCTTACTATTTTAACATTCTGACAAATACAGTATCTATATTGATAACTTTCAACCAGCTTTTTAATACTTCATTCTTAATATGAACATGTAGTTAAGGATCACTGGGCACTTGAAGAAAGTGATATTTTAGAAGATATACAAATCAAAGTTTAGAAGAGATGTGAGAGGAGATACCACAGTATCTATCCTAATAATAATAAATGACCAAGAGCATTATGTTCTTAAAACAGTGTATTACATATGTCAATCATTTCTTGTCCCGACCCATACCCTCATCTAAAAGAAACTACCAATATCAGATATTTTCTCAGTTTCCACTCTTTGGAGACTTTCCATTCTTCCATTACAATTTGGACCTATTGCTCTTTCAGTCCACTACACTGATCAGGTGATCACTGAGGATTCCCTTCTCTCTTCTGGGATGGGTCTCCAGTTTCCTAGATCCTATTGTTTCCTCTTTCCTGGTTTATTCTCTTGTCTTGGTAAAGAAACTTTCCATTACTTCTTGATAAGGGAGATACAGGATGCTTCTTTTGTTGAGGACTTAAATGTCTGAAAATATCTTTATTCTACCAATACATAGTGATTTGTTTGGCTGAATGCAGTACAATTCTGCTTTAGAAATCAATTTCTCTCCAACCACTGAAGACATGGTTCTATTATCTTCTATCTTTCAGCACCTCCAGTGAGAAGTCTAAAGTCATTATGTTGCCATTCCTAGTCTTAATCCTTTGTATATGACCTACTTCTTTTTTTCCACAAAGAGTTTTAGAATCTTCTAAGTGTGTATTCAATTTCATAATGATAGGTATTGGTGTTGAGCAAAACAAACTCAAATTCTTCAGTTCTAGGTTACATTCTAGTAATTACTTCTTTGGTCATCCCTTCTTCATTTTCTCTGTTCTCTCTCAAACTCACTAAATCTCATGGACTGAACCCCTAATATTCTTTCCCTCCTGTTTTCCATCTTCTTGTCTTTTGGTTCTACTTTCTAGAAGATTATCTCAATATTATCCTCCAAACTTTGCACTATACTTTTTATGTCTCCTAAAATATTTATTTTAAGGGTTCTCTTTTATTCTATCAGTGTTTCTTTATAGACTCCTAATTCTTGTTTTGTGGATTAATAAATATATTTCTCTTTACTGAGTATATTTTCTTAGTTTCTCCAAGTTTTTTTGTTTTGTTTTGTTTTGTTTTTTTCCATCTCCCTGTTTGTTTTGCCTGATTTGCATGGTGGAGACTTTCTTCACTATGCCTAGTGATCCTTATCTGCATGTTTGTATTAAGAATGAAGTACTGAGAGGATTAGCAGAACGGAGTCGCCGGAGCCAAGCACAGACGAGAGGCCCACGGAAGAGGGTAGGAAGGGCGGCGAGGCGGTGCTTGCTCCACGGACCGGCGGGAGGGAGCCGGGGCGGAGGGGCGGCTCGCCGGCCAAGCAGAGCCCCCGAGTCTGGCTGGCAAAAAGCGGAGGGGCCTGACGGACTGTGTTCCGACAGCAAGCGCGACTTAGCGTCTGGGAGGTCATAAGTTAACAGCTCTGCTCGGAAAGCGGGAAGGCTGGAGGACAAAGGGAAGGAGAGCTGCTGAGCCCCCGGACGACAGAGCTCAGTTTGGTGGGGAACAAAGGCGCTCGCCAGCGCCATCTCCCCCGCCCATCCCCCAGCCAAAATCCCAAAGAGAACCAGTTCCTGCCAGGGAACTTGCTCGCTCCGCGC